TGTGGTTATTTATGGGCCAAAGCAGGCCACCACTTGTTTTTGTAAGTGGTCTGTTCAGAGTGTCTCTGATTGCATTCATAGCAGAGTTGAGTGTTTAAGACTGACACTGTCCACAACATCTAAAGTATTTATAGACTAATAAGAATATATTTCTACCAGAAAAAAAATTGCTGGCCCCTGATGATGTCAGTGGCACCCTTAAGATTTCTTCGCTGTTCTAAATGATTCTGTACATGGTATGATGGTGAAAGACATTCGATCTGAATTGTATTACTTAATAGCTATGAAACTGTAAGCCCTCTGAGCCTCAGTAGATCCACAAAATGGAGACATAAAATCTATCTTGTTAAATCTCATGTAAATCTCATAGTGGAATCTTAATGAATGATAGCTCCCTTTCCAACCTCCCTGACATCAGTGTAGCACTCCCAAAGCCGAGAATTCCCCAGCTCCTTCTCATGATTTTACTCTTTAAGTCTCTGTGGCCCCTTCAGGGTAGTCTGCTTTTTCCCCCTGACTCCACTCCTCAAGTCTTAAGCACCTGATGTTGGGTTCTGTTCAGTTTCTCAAATGTACCAAGTTCTTTTCTACCACTTTACTCTGGTTGCGTCGTCTTCTCTCAGTTCTACCCATGTTAGCACAGATAGCATGTCTTTATCTTTTTGATTGCAGAGTAGTATTCCATGTGTACATGTGCCATATCTTCTTGATTCATTCATCACTGAATGACCACTGGGTTAATGAGGAAGTCAAAGAAGAAATCAAAACATACTCAGAGGCAAATGATAATCAGGACACAACATTTAAGAATATACAGAACACACAAAAACTGTCCTAAAAGTATATAGCAATATAGGCCCACATTAACAAACTAGAAAAGTCTAAAAATCCTGTCTCTCATCTCAAGGAACTAGCACAAAATGTAGAAATACAACAAAAAGTCCCCAGATCTGAAGGAAAGAAATGATGATAAAAAAAAAGACAAAATTCAGTGAAATAAAAATTAAAAGGATAGTCCAAAATACCAGTGAAACCAAAAGCTGGTTTTCTGAAAATAAACAAAATTGACAAACCTTTAGCTGGACAGACTAAGAGAAAGAGGGTGAAAACTCAAATAAGATCAAAGGTGAGAGAGAAGTTTGTTTTAATTTCATTTTTAGTTTTAGTTGTGGACAAAATCCAGATTAGAATCTATAATCAGAGTATAATGTGCAGAGCCAAACATAAGAGACATTTTAAAATCCTGAATTCAGACTCTGGACAACCTGCACAGTTTTCAGCATCTGAGCTGCCATGGACCTCACCATGGGAGGTGTCGTCTAGAGACTAAGGAAGTTGTGCTCTCTCTCTCTGGTACCTTAACTGCATCATTAGATGATCTTTACTTTGGTAAAACAGTAAATAGCAAACCTTGTAATTCTCACCTGAGAATTTGGAAAACTTTATTCCTTAAAGCACTCAGGAACCTTCAGGAAAGTCTCTGGATACTGAAATAGACCTAGCATTGATATTTTCTTAACATTCTGTTGGCAAGAGAAGGAAAAAAAAAAAAGAAAAAAGACCATTAAAAGTTGCTGTTGTTATTGCTATGAAACAGCAATTAGTGGTTGTAATAATGAATGAACATGTGAGGCATCCATTGAAAATTTGACATGCCTTATAAATGCTAAATAATAATAATGATGTCATGAGGCTTTCATTTTCAAGCTGTCTTAATTTTATTCTCAGTTTGAGATTGCAGATTACAGTAGTTAATTATAGAAATTGGCCCAGAGTGAAACCTTAAATCAGATTTCCATTAAAGTGCATGACTGTAGCAAATGACTTTATAGTGGGAGAGAACAGCATCATCTCAGTGGAGTGAGACCTTCCTAGTGCTCTGTGGTATCCCGTGTCCTACACAATCCCATGTCTGTGAGTTTAGCAGCCTGTGCACTTCTTTGTCTTGTTGCTAGCCTTGTAAAATCTCTAAGTCCTTTGTGAATATTGGGCAAACTTTCTTCTCTTTCTCACTGCTTGCTTTTTCTCTCTCCCTTTTCTGGACCCCCCTCTCTCCTTACCCTCTTAGGCTAACACAATCACTTTGTATTTCTCATCTTGTTTTCTCATGCACTCACTCTTCTCTCTGCCCTGCTGTTTTTTTCATATCACCCCTCCTCTGCCCTGTAGAGAAAGAAGGAATCAACAAAAAAGAGCCAGGTTCCCACCCTGGCCTCTGTCAGCTGCATTTTCTACATTATCTGTACCATCTTAGTTACTCCTCCAGTCAACCTACAATTCCTGAATGAACCAAGCTGGATGCAGTTCCACCTTCATCCTGGCAGGCCCTTTCTACCTGAGTCCCTGCTTTAACATTCTTCTTGGCAACTGGAATGTTTGTATCCCAGCCAGAAAGCTCCTCTCATCACTGCCATCTGTATCATTGGTGCTCACCTGAGTTCCCTGAGGACAGTGATAATCTTATTCATCTTCCTATCCCAAGCACTTAATTCTGTGCCCAGTGCAAGGAGTATGGTCATTAGGTGTCTATTGAAGTTAATTTAATTCACTCACTCTTGAAACCATTTTTTATTAGATGGTTATGCTATGTCATGGATTGTGATAGCTGCTGGTGGAAAAACCACATAGGCCTATTGTAGAGGAACACAAAGGTGACCCACACAGGGTTTTGTATCTTGGGGGTAGAGATAGAGGATAAGAGGAAATAAACTACATTAGAAAGGCAGGATTACTTAGTAGATTTGGAGAAAGCCCATTATTTTTCCACTGTTAGAAAAGAAGACTTTTTCTTGATTTAGCATCAGTTCAAGTGATGTATGAAGAATATGTATGTGTAATGTTACATGCCCATTAAACACAGTAAGTTGCTGAAATATGAGAGACGTGCGGGAATTTATACCTACTGAGGCAGCACCAGATCCACAGTTCATACTTGACACTCACTCCAGGGCACGTGCCCACTAAGTAGTATTGGGTCAAGGGTTACGGGCCTCTTGCTCCCCACTCCTTCCTATGTAGGTGAAATCACATGTGTTCGTGCATAATGTAACTGTAAAATGGATAGTTCTAGGTAGATTATGACACAGCAACTTGCTCTAACTTGATGAGATAACAAAACTTCACCGAAAAGCAGTTGACATCTGGACTCACAGAGATTGTACCAGTTGGAAGATGTCAGAGGTGCACAGGTATCTATGGACTTCACCAGAAAACCTGGTTCTTCCACACAGCTGAGTGAACCACAGCAGTTCTTAAGATTCTCACTTGGTCCCTCAGAGTCATTATTGTTCTTGAGTGTTTTTCCTCCATTGTTCTGGCAAGATTCTCTCTATCCCACAGCTCTTTGTAAAATACTGCTCTATCAAGCTTCAGTGTTAACAGCATTTAATAGCTGTCATTAGAAAGCAAGCTTCTGCCTACCAGTCAGCTTGCCGTCGGGAGAGTTCTTCTTGGGGAGTGGCCCTAATCTTTTAACTGGTCTCAAAATATTGCTCATTTGTTTTGTTCTTAAAACATGACCTATTCTATTAAGCTTCTATAAATTGGTGTTTGTGATATTTGATTCAAAAGAGCTGAAAGTGGTTTTATCTTACTTGCTTTCTAGGTAACTTGTCTACCTTCATCATTGTTTGTTGAACTAGACGCATATATAAATATCCATCAAGTAATCTTTAGGCGTGCATTAAGCATTTCACATGTATTATTTCATCTAGACCTTTCAAAAACCTTACCAACTAGATAGTCCCACTTTGTTGATGGAGCACCATGTTCAAAGACACAGTATGTTCATTGTTCTACACCTGACGTGAAGACTCAGTAGGTGATCTAGAACACTGACTTTGGCCTCACCACTGCTTCATGTTATTTGTGTAACCTCGTGAGTTCCTTGAATTTGTACAGAAGGTTAACTCTATACTTACTGAGTAGGGTTCTGGCAAGGATCAAAATTAAAAAATGAGGGTTCATTTAATGGTGCTTTCTAAACTAGATAAGTGCTGTACAGGTCTAATGTATTCTTTGCTCATATGTTTTGTGTAGTTAATTTAGCATAGTGAAATAATGGGATTTAAAAATGGCACTCTCACTGTACACATATATGCTTTGTCATTAGTGTAGCATAATTTTAGCTCCATTCTTGGAATTTTGATGCCTTTAGCTTGATGAATAGCCATTTTCTGTGGGTGTTATCAATTAATCTAGATAATGAATTCTCTTCATTATCTCGTTCTTCATGCTAATTATACAGGATTTTCTTATGCCTATTTGTCAAGTCAGGACAACTACAATTTTTTTGGTCTGCATGCCTTTGAATTTGGAATAGGTATAAACAGGTTAACATGATAGGTTGAAATTTACATTTCTGAAAAAATCCTGTAATGGCTTGACTATCTTTGCATCCTTATTTGTGATATGAGCTTGTATCTAGTTCTTTTGGGGGTCTCCTTTTTTGAATCAAAAAGGTTGTTATCTCAGATAATTAAACACTCTCACATTTGAGAATCTACCTTTAGCATATCAATGAGGTATTAAGGAATTACAGAAACATTTGATTTGTTGCCTATTAATACAAAACAATTAATAAGTTCCTAGTTTAGAAGTACCCTCTGAAATCCCTAGCAAATAAAAATTGAAGTATAGACCATGGGGAGAAAAAGTATAAGTGCATGAAATTTTAAATAACACAACTCAAAAGAATAGTTTCAGACAATAATATTAGAAAAACAAGGAGACAGTTTAAAATAAATGAATGGTGACTGGATGAGTAGTGATTGTTGAAATAATATGGGTTGATATTTAGTAACTCAGCAATAGATTTTTAACTTAATATTTTCTAGGCCTTTTCAAGGTTTTTATGTTCTATGTTAAAAACAAAAGACAGGGTCTTATTTTAATTGCCTCTCTTGGTTAATCAGTTGTTTTTTTGTTTTTTTTGTTTTTTTTTTTTTTTAAGAATGTTTGCTGTCAGCATTTTGATGGGGACCTTCCTATGCTTATTTCAGGTTGAAGCCATCCTTGTCAATATCTTTGGTGGAATTGTCAATTGTGCCATTATTGCTAATGGGATCACCAAAGCCTGTCGAGAACTGGAACTCAAGGTGCCCCTTGTGGTGAGACTTGAAGGTGAGTTATGGTAGATTTCATACGTCCCTCACTCATAAACTTCCTGGGGCATATAAAGAAACAATCAATTACACAAAATGGAATAAATGGAGGACAGCAGTAACTCACAGAAACTCTACAATGAAATATGAGTTGTATCTTTGCAAGAGCGGCATATGCTTTTGCAAAGTCTAGAAACTTATCACACAGTGGAGTTCTTTACTATGAATTGTTTCATGGGAGTAGTGTTGTGAGAATACACTGAGAAATCAGAAGTTATCATGGGAGAGTAGTATTTCCAAAGTTTTTTGGTCTCAGGACTCCCTTAGCTTATTAATATTGGGAACCACAAAGAGCTCTTGTTTATTTTGGTTTCTATCTTTTGATACTTATTGATGAATGTAATTGATGGAATAGATAATTTGATAATTGGAATTCCTTGGAAATTTTTAACTATTCTTTATCTTCATAATGAAATGCTAACTCTTTACAGTATATATATTACATATAATAATTATGTATTGCATATACCTTATATTTAATATACACATATTATATATCAAAACAATGGAAAATAGTTTTCTTCATAAAATATTAGTAAGAAGAGCAGCACTATTTTACATTTTGCAAATCCTTTTCACCTCTCCTTACACTTGTTTCGTTAAGTTGTATGAAGAAAATCTGGTGTCACAGACCTATGTATTTGGAAAAGAGAATTTTTTTTTTTTTAAGATTTATTTATTGTGCATACAGAACTGGGGTACAGGCCAGAGGCTCAGGGGCAGTGAGAGGCTTCACCAGAGACAGAGTGGGGAACAGAACAGGCAGATCGACGAAGTACACTGCTGAGGGGAGCAGCGGGCGGCTCAGGAGAGGTCTGCCTCTCCATGTGGTCACTTCCGGGGCAGGTGGGAATCGAACTCATGCGGAAGCGGCTTTAGATTCTCAGTGCTGTGCTTTAACCCACTGCGCCACCAGGGAGGGCCGGAAAAGAGAAGTTTTTTAATAATCATTCTATATTCTGCTTTTGTACTACACTGTAAAATCTCCAGGTAATAGTTATTAAAGTTTTATTCTACCATGGAATCTTAAACTATTTTAACTAACTTTTCATATTCTGGTATTAAAATCTATTGGTCTTACTAGTACATTAAATGAATTTTACGCAAGTATGATTTGTAGGATCATGCATTGATCAGATAGAAATTTTGTATTATTCAGATCTTTCAAAAGTTGACACATTTCAGCATACAACATCAAACATTTCACATTTGTTAGTATCATACCATTCTCATCAGGAAAGCTTCTGAATATTGGAAAGCTGTCAAGATGCTAGATGCAAGTTTTCCGAAATTTGATTTTCTCTTTAAAGTACAAATTTTATCATCACACACAAAATGGTCAGTTGTTTTCCTTGATGTGACAGACTCATTTTTGAGAAAATGTCTGAAAATAACTAAAACTGAACAAACACAATGTGTCCATCATTATTCCAAGAAGAAAATAGTGCTTCTTGGAAAAATGGGTGGTTTAATTTGTAACTCAAACAACTGTGCACATGCTTTTCCTTAGAATGACTGTTGCAGTCCAGAGTGCAACAGAAGTTCTTCCCAGGCACTTTCCTCTTGGCCATACAGAGTGTCCAAAAGATGAGATTTAGTAGAATTATTACTTTGTTTTACTGTTCACTAAGTACATCCTTAGTTTAAACTGGCAATTTTTTTTTTTTTTTTTTTTTTGCTGTGGTGAAAAATATATTGACCACTGTACAGTTTGATGCCACTTCACCAATTCTATGGTAAAATGTCAGCAGTTCTACCCACCATCACTTTGCTTCATCAGTGCAATGTTGGTAGAGTATTATTATTATTGTTGTTGTTGTTACTGTAAAAATAGTTTTTACATCAGGTGCCTCCACAGGTTCTCTGGACTAACTATATTTTGAAAACCAGAGTAGTGGCAAAACTCCTGTCCACGTCATCAAGAAATTCAGTTTGGAATGATCAAGCCATCCCCTTAAGTAGATTCCCACCATACCATTCTTAGGGCAGCTCAGTTTCTCCAACATCTGTGCTGCCCTAGAGACTATCTCCGTGAAATGAAGTCTAGGGATATTTTAAACAGGCTGTGTAACCCCATCTTTGAAGCCAGGACAGCTGTGTTTCATTTTTCTCTGTTTGCTTCTTTCTTTGAGCCTCTTCCTCACTCATTCTCTGCCACACTCCTTTCTCTTTCCTGAAACTGTGCCTCACACATTTGCATCTGTGCATAAGGACCTGACAGAAAGAAAAGTGAAAATAGCAGAAGCTCTAGCTGGCAAAATTAATGTGACATTAAGACTTATCATGAATGAAATCATCTTAAAAGTGTAAATACAACATAAGTAATCCTAATAAAATTAATGTCAATGAAAGGACAGTGATTGGCAAGTTTGGGATGGAAAGAAAATTGATCAAGGAGTTAATCAGTTTGTCAGTATAAATATAATTCTGCTTAAACAGTAATGATTAAGTTGCTGATGTCAGGCTGTTTTCAGGATCAAAGTGACCAATGACCTTCAGATCCTAAAAGTCATCTCTCCTCCAGGTATTCTTAAAGGAAATCAGGACTCTATAACCACAACAAACTAGTATTTGTCACTTGGAAGTTACTAGAAATGAGAACATAATGTAATGGGTTCTTTTCTAGTGATCTCCCTTATTCTTGTGTTAGCAATGGAGGTCCATAGTTACTAGTTATTAGCACATGCCTACAAAAGGAAGCTAGCCCCCTTTTAAGTTTTCCTGGTATATTAAAAGGAATATTTCTCTTACTTTCATAGTATGTTTATATTCCAGAAGCATAAAATGATCTCTGTCATTTAAACATATCCTTATTGTGTGTATCTGCATAATACACATGCTGAAATATGCTAAATAGAAAATCTAGCATTATCTGTCTTAATCATCTCTGTTCGCTGTATCAGAGCTCTGTCTGAACTTTCAAAGAAGCTTTGAAATTTCTCAGTTTGTTAGACAATCAGCTTCGCAGCTGTTAAGTTACTGCATTTCAAAGGTATATGCCTGTGGTTTTACGTTAGTTAATATAATAAATGTCTTGTGAAGGTCATTGAGCCTTAGGCATTAAGGGGATTATTTAGAAATATAAGAAGTGATCTCAGTTACTAGGTAACTGGGGAATAATGTAAAAAGGAAAATTAACAGTGCAAGATTATGTATCTGAAATGTTAGTAAGTGTTTGCTGTAATAGAATCTGTGTCTATCACAGCCACAGAGTATTCCCTATAGTCATCAACACGGCTGGTGGCTTCTTCAGATATTGACACCTCACAATGTACAAAGAGCATTTTGAGCAATTCCAGTGGTAGTTTCTATATATAGGATGTGACCTAACAATCTATTTTAACTGATGAACTTCTCAATTATATTTATTCACATTAATATTCAAATTGTGTCACACTCCCAGAACACAGTTGTCTAACAAAGTGAGACAAAAAAGAAATGGCTATTATTTCAGCATCTGTGATGACGCTGAATGACAAAAGCTGCAGTAGAGTTACAGTAATACAAATTTAATTGCATTAATTCAATGCTTTCTAAATTTAAGATATGCTAAAAAAGAGCATAGCTATATCTGAACAAATGTGATATTTTGAATGACCAAAATGATAGATTTGAGCCCTAGAATGCATTTTGTTAGTAGTATCTCTTATAAATAGGTACAATGGCTCTTTTTAAGTTGTCTGTGGCCTTTTTTAAAAAAATTGAGGACCATTGCCTTAAGTTTCACTAATTTGTTGCCCCTATTTAAAGGACTCTATTGCCACACACAGTATATTAGAAATATCCTGATGAGGAAAGTTTTAATCAGTCAAATCAGACTTGATTTAGTGGGATTTTGTGGACAAATCTTTGTTCTCAGCTGTATAATAATTACATGCTGTTTTATCAGTGGATAAGGAAAGGATTACTCTCCTCTTTGAAAATGGTAACTTTATAATTACATGTATTTACTTGCCTTATCAGAGTAGAACTCACCAGCTGAGACAGGGGATTATTTTTATTTAAAAGACTCCTGGATAAATTGAACAATCAGTTTTTTGGTTTTTTTTTTTTTTTTTTTTTTTTTGTGAGGGGATTGTTGAGGGGGAGGGGAAACAGTTTTTGTAGACAGGTCTTTTTGACATGAATAAATAATACATCTAAAATGAGTTTTAATTTTTTTCTTTTTGAAATGCACACATAATTGGCACAAAAATTACCTAGGTGGCTAAATTAGCTGATTCCACATTACTGCTGGAAAATGTATGGACATTTATTAACAACCTTATGTGTTCACTGTGCAAATATATTTTAACCAAAGTGGTATATTTCATTTGGATGGTTTTAAAATTCTTTAGAAGAATTTTATTATTATCCCATTTAAATATGCAGCAGACTTCAGTGTCTCGAATATGTCTGAAGAGAAAGGTGCTTTTTCCTCAGGTATTCATTATGGTTTCAACATGAACTCATGAAAATAATAATTGAAATTATTTGCAGATTGGATCCTATTTTATCCTAGCCAAATCTTCCCTACTTGATTTTTCTATTCAGTATCAAAAGGGTATTTCAGCAACATTAACATTTGCTTCGCTCTTGCCAAATAGCTTATAGAAGCTAGAATGTCATCTACTTCCCTTCCTTATTCCTACCAATCTCTGTCGTCCCTGGAACTCTAAAATTGTAGAGAAAGCAAACTTCTCTTAGTAGGAAACATTCTATTTCACTTCTTTGTGGACCAAAATACCAACACCTCTCTTTTGTGGACACTTTCTTTTTCTACTCTCTGAAATTCTGACAAGTGACACCATAGCCAGCAACATGCCAACCAAGTTTCTTTCTTAGCATGGACACAGTAAAATTGCTAGGCAGTGCCTTCGCCTGCTGATAGGGTAAAGAACCTTGTGAGTGTTGACACCTTCAGAGACAGCCACAGATTTTGTCTGTCGCCATGCACTTGGTAGCAATATATTGTGCAAA